TAATGGCATCAACATGTTGAAGGTCTACGTGGCCCATTTTAATGGCAAATGCGCGATACCATGGTAGCTCCATTAAACGTTTGGGGTAGGCACAGGTCCTGCGGCTAAAAGTCACCAACCAGCCAGACAGCCAGCCAGCCAGTCAACCAGGCTCGCTGCTATTCGAAATGAATTTCAACAATTTGCCCAAATCGATGCACGGTGCTAGCTGCTACTCATATAGGCAACGAAATTGCTGCCCAGTTCTTTGACACACTCGCCGCGTATCACGTATTTCCACTAAGAAGCAATTTGTCCATTGGCCAATTGAAGTTCGCCGGCCCAACGACAACAAATGAGGCTTCACCAGGCCGATGGCTTTTGCAATGTCTTAATTATTTTCGGGGGGCCGCGCTTAAGACCATTGCCGCAAAACTGCTGATGATACTATATATAAAAATATCTATATATATAAATGTATATATATATGGAGTATATGTATGATACATGTGCAGACATATGTCAATGAATGGAAATGCAAAATACTATAAATTTCGTGGCTCTCTTTGCGTAGCTGTCAGTATGTTGACCCAGTTTCAATCTGATACACGTTCGACAGTTGAAAAGGGAGTATTGGTATTAACGTGATATGTTCAATTAGTAACGCGACAGTTGAGTTTCCGCTAGTCACTCAGCGCACTCGTGTCCTTGCTCATTAAATTTTGGGACAGCTGTTTTCCCTCGCCTTCGACTTTTGGCTCTACCAATAGATGGACCAAAGAATCCGTCTTAAATATTTGGCCAAAAACAAGTCACTAATGACCTAGAGCTGCTCGCTTGTAAGTTTTTCTTGTGCGCGAAACTGAAGAGGGCCATCAAAGCACGACGCTGCGCTACGATGGAGCAGATAAAGAAGGCATCGAAAAAGGAGCTAAAGAAGAGCACAAAGAAAGATTTCTTTGAAGTGCTTCGAGAATAAAAAAAAGCATTGCTGATGGATATTATCTGATAACAATTACTTTAAAGGCGACAAAATAGACATAAATACTTGTCGAACTGACCTCGCACTGTTATATTGCGAGCGACTTGACATTTAGCATTTGCGTCGAGGTATCTCGTGCTCAGCTTGGGGATATGGCGTAGTTTTGGAGGGCGTGGCATATCGAAAATATTAACGATATTTACCAAACTAGAATCACCCAGTTGATTTCCTCTACAGCATGAATTATACGGTCAGTCCAGTGGAACGTGAACGAGTATTAAGCTGTCAGTGCGCTCGACTGCAACGTTCTCAGTTCGCCTTTTTTTGTTTTGTTGTCCGAAATTCAATAATAATTATATATCTGACGGCGATGTCGTTAACAATATAATGAAGGCACTGGCCATATATGAATTACGATTGTTAAGTTATTCATTTTTGTATTATTTTTTTTTTTTATTTATTGCTTTAGTTTCTATTTTCTTATTTTGAATCAGCAAATTGAAAAATTGGTATCAAGCTTTGACCTACAGCAAACTTTGCAAAATTAACATGAACTTTGACATGCACATGCCCCGCTTGAATCAGTTGATTAGAGAGTAGAATTTAGTTTACTTTTGTCAACAGTCCGTTTAATAGATTGACTCCATTAAGTGTTGCCAGTCCGTCGAGTTGTGCTGCGAATTTGGCTTTTTAATTGGTTTACCAATCAGTTAAGCCATCCCAACTTAATTTATCTTAGCCCTGACTCTTTTTTATAAGTAAAACACAAAGTTTGAAAAACAGAGTGAGTTCTGGCAGCGACTTTGTTAATTGCTAATTTGAATTTTCCATTTGAAAAAGCGTAAATATTTGAAGCGCTTTGTTATCTTTGCTTGCGAAATTTTCTTTTTCCAGCCAAGAAAAGGGTAAAACGCAGCAAATATTTTAATTGCTCAGTCAAGCGGGCTTAGCTTTGAATCGATAGAATAGAAAAAACATTGTATCGCACAGGCTGCATACATATATATTTAATTAAACTTGTAAAACAGGGCAAAGTTTTAAAACGAAAATTGATAAATTCTATGTGGCACAGGTTCAGGAGTAGCCAAGTTTATATGGCAAGACCGCAAGACATGATTATGGTTCGAATTACTACAAATTCAATAGTTGGGACCAGGTAGATGAAGTCGAATAACTAGCTCTGCTGCTGAGCATGCTTAAGCGTAAGCAAAAGTATATATATAGGTATATAAAATATGTATTTTTGGACTTTAAGACTGAAGATTGATATCAATTCTTTATCGATTCTATGGAAATGAACGATAACTTAAAAGAAACATTTCATGTAGTTCGGTGCGGCTGTTGATTCTGATCAACATAGGCTCTATGAGATCAGCCACGCCTCAGTCTTTTGTTATATACAGCTGTTATATATATTTGGCAACTTTTTGCTAGGTAATTATAGATGATATAAGTCGAGGGAGTGAGGTCGTAAATCGTGCTGATTAATACCAACAATATATATACATGATCTACAATATACATACATATTAATATATATATATATATATAATCATAAATGAATTACGTTCAAGTCTAAATAGAGAACTGAAAAGAGTTGACTCATAATCTATACGTAATACCTGTGAAAGTTTCTAGACGTGTTGGCTAGAACGTGTTTTTCACAAGTTAACTATTCTAGAGTAGAAAGAAAAGTAATTACGATTTAAGCGCGTACTTAAATGAAAATCCAATTCTAAATAGTAGGTGCACAACACGCAAGGCAATACAGTGAAGCCTCAACATGCTGATAGCTTCCTTCATTTGACTATTTAAATACAACGAACGAGCATATAACAGCTTTGCGGACTCTGTTTATTGACATGTTTATGCGAGCTTATAGCCTCGCAAATACCCTATTATTGATAACGATCTAGGAGGCTATTTAAATATAGTTCTTAATTATTTTTTGTTATTTTCACCACAATGTCATAGCAGGACGACGGCGAGTGACCGCTGTGGGCAGTGCTCACTGTATGTGGTTGTAACACTGTCGTGCAGTTGGACATTCAATTTGCATGGCAATGAGCTAACTTATTGAGTTATTCAGTTATTCAGTGCGAAGCAACTCTCAGCTGTCAGCGCAGAGCTGCAGTCTAATTTCATTTGGGAAATGGCGAATGTTTGTTCGTTCGTTCGGCTGTTCAAAGATGAAGATGAAGTGACGTTGCATATGCCGTATGAAGCATGCCACATGCCGCATGCCGCATGCCACATGCCACATGCTACCGAGTATAAATATAACAAGTGCCAAGTGAATTATGTACATAAATAAAACAACTTCGCTGCAATCTGCCGACTGTTGAAATACTCTGTCGTGACTCTCAAACAGTAACTGTAAAATATAAATGGTCCTTAAACTGTATTATTGGCAAGATATTCTTGGGAAGTTTGTTGGCGAAAGAAATCAACAGCAATTTGAAGGGCTGATATACCCGTTTTGACTATTGACTTTGCCAACAGAGTAGAGCACGCAAGGCAACTGTTGTGCAGACGACGGTCGGACATGAAGGCGCGGCATGTAGATGTTGTGGCAAATGCACTTGCAACTTGGCGCTAAAGCTTGAAGTTCACGTCGTATAGCTGCAACATGGAAAGCTTTTGTCTGTTTTCGGTGCGACTAATTGTTGCTGCACGTTGACAGGCATCGCTGTGTGGCATCTGGCGCGGCAGCTAGCTATTGAAGAGCTCCACTGGAGCTGACGTTGACAGCCTGCGTCGCCTGAGCAACAACAGTAGCCGCTCTGATGCGACCCATCTGACTATATTGTGCGCCAGCGAAAAGTGCAATAAACTTTGACAAAATAAGGCGAAACTATTGCCGCGGGCAACGGCTGGGGCGATGGGGCGATGGGGCGGGGGCACAGGAACAAATGGAGCGCCAGCAAACTCTTCAGATTGTCACACATACACACACATCGCAGGTTTTGTATAAAAAATAAGTAAAAGTGAGCTCGTAGGGAGTGCTTGACTAAGACATACCCAAAGCGGGTATTTAAATTGCTAATATGTCAAATTTGAAATATGTTGAATATGACAATGCTATAGCAGAGTTTACAGAACAAATTATGGTGTGCCTTGCGCTTAAAATCTTTGAGGTATTTACAAAAAAAAATAAAATAAAATATAGAAGATATCGAGTCTTATATATTTCACTGGAAGCTTAATTGAAACGAAAACTATCTGCTTCTGTATTAAGAGGATCATAGTTCTACATTTTACTAGTTCATACTAGTTCTTGTGAGCGGATCGAAACTAAAAGGCCTTAGCCTGACATTAGGGAAATAAAAAAAAACTTTTATACCTATTTTTTTTTAGATATTTAAAACATGTTAAAAAATAAGGAAAATAATTTTTAAATATTATTTTTTTTAGTCGCACACTCTTTAAACTAACCTCGTAAGCTTGCACAAAATAGTAAGTAAACATAAAACATAAAACAAAAATAAAAATCACGTTTGTATATAATATAACTAGCTAAGTTAGCAACGTTTTGAACCACCCTCTTATACACATATGGAGTCAAGCAATGCATTTGTCCTTCTACCTGTTTACACACATGTGCATATAGCCAATATACCCACTTTACACATGTCTAATAGGCGAAGGGTATAAAAAGCCGCAGCTGAAGACGACATCAATAACAGCAGCGGCAACAGCAACAGCGGCAGCAGCTAAAGCGGCAACAGCGGCGGAGAGAACTTCTTGATTAGAATTCGTTTCGTTTGCGCTGACGTTGCCTTGCGAATAGCCGCCGCTGTGTCGTTGTTGGTCTATGGGTCTATGTGGTATGTCCAACACTGCATGTGACAGAGCCAGCGTTAGATGTTTAGAAATATTCCCGTATGTTGGGTGACTTTAAGTTAAATTTAATTCGTATGTTAATATTTATGGTAATGCGGCGTTTGCCGCGTTTCTTGTTAATGTTATTGCCAATAGACAGATAAGCGGAATAGAACAGTGTCCAAATGCTACAAATTGATATCAAAATAATACTTACTCGTGCGGGTTGTTGTCTCATTAGATTATAATTCGTTCGCTGGCTATGGATCTTCCTTGGTCAGGCAGCAGCAATAATAACAACAGTTGAGTTGTGTTTTGTTTTGTGTTGTCGTGTCACAGGCGGCGAGAGAGGAGTTCAATCAGTTGCGCTAAAGAAGCGTTGTTGTTGTTTCTGTTTCTATTTCAGCTTTAGTTGTTATTGTTGTTGTGTGTTGTTCACTTGTAGTTGTTGCTGTCGGTCTTTGCTATTGGTCCTCAATCGCACTTAGTAACAACGAATACAGTTGCATTCGCATTCATTGCACGCTCACTTATAAACAAATGCAGTACACGTATTTAATGTTGGCAAGTGTTTGCATTTACAAAAAAAATAAAATAAATAACCACGAACACGTCCGACTTTTGGAGCCGCAAAAAATCTACTGAATTAATACGCACTCTATCGATAGCATGCAAAATGTGTGACGGCAGTCGATCAACTATCGACTACTTGTTAGCACCAACAGCTGATTGCTGCTTGCTGTCGGGTGGCAACCTCGTGCTGTTATTGTTGCCCAATAGCTCAGCAGCTTAAAAATATATATGATTTTTTTCTTTTTAATATGGTTAGGTAATAGTTATTGTTTTCTGTTTTATCAGTAAAAGTTAGCTTTACGCCCTCATTAATTATGCGCGCTGACAATTCGAAATCAGCTGTGATCATGAAAACTATCGAAAAAAGTAAGGGAAGAGCGTTGCCACTGCCATATGTTGGTAGCTCTGCAGTATACATAACATAGATGGCGCTGCAGTTGTAGTTCTCAGAACTGTCAACAGGTGGCATAGTTATATTTAAAATTGACTTACGTGCAAAATTATTGAGAACAAATTCCATTAAAATTTTTGTCGGCGGGCACATTAAAATGATTAATTTATGAATATTATACGTGCACGCTTGAACCATATTATGGCGCATGACTCAGAAAGTTAAAATTATCAGACAATTGCCTAGCTTATGTCAGACATTTCCCATTGCGTATACGCCCATAAAGCCAACCAATAGGTCTTATCAAAATTAGCAATTAAGTGCAGTCAGCTAATAGTTTCCATGGCAATTTATGGAGCTCCAGACAAATAGGTGTCGATAAGCTAAAATCCATTGAAACAGAGGTTATATGTATGTCACGCAATGTCTAATAATTATCTAGACTTCAATAATTTATTTACACATGTCATAAAGATGTGCTGTAACTAAGACCGCACGAGAACTTCGTAGTGCTCCAGCTTGACCTCCTCCCCACCAAAGGGTATATAGATGCAGCCATGCGAGGGATGAATCTTGCCAACGGTTAGACTCTCACAGTAGTGGGCTCTGCCCACGTATAGCGTTTCGCCATCCACATTGGGCCCGGAGGCCACTGCATTGGGCACCACATTGCCGTTTGAGGCTGGTACCCACTGGAATCCATCACCGACCAGCACTTGGACTTCGGTGACCTCGTGCTCGGCCTGTGCATAGGCAGCATAGGCAGTGCCCTTCGACGGCACCACCTTGGCGGGCAGCAGATCGCCATTGCGGAAGACGCGACCCACATAGATGACATCGCCGTTGGAGTCGTGCCCGCCCACCACAGCGCCATTGGGCACATCTGAGGCGGTCGTGTCAATCCAGCGCTCTGGCTGCGAGAGCACCTCATAAGCAAAGACCTTCACCTCGTCGGAATCGTAGGGTATGTAGAGGCAGCCGTGCGAGGGATGAACCTTGCCCATGGTCAGGCTGCCAGCGTGATAGCCACGACCTGCATACAGATCCTCCCCATCGACATTGCGACCCACTTTGACAGCTCCCACGGGCACAGCGCCGTTCTCAGCGGGCAACCACTCATAGTTGTAGCCGCTGAGCACCTCGTAGCTATCGAGCTCCACCTCCTCACGCGCATAGGCTACATAGGCCTTGCCCTTGTTCGGTATCACCTTGGCTGGCAACATATCATTGCAGTAGAAGGCGCGTCCCACATAAATGCTATCTCCATCCGAGTCATGGCCAGCGATCACGGCATTTGGGGGCACGCTGCCATGGCTGCAATGCTGCCATCTGTGTTCTGTGTAAGCGACGTCTTTAGATACCAATGCTCCCTGAATGCGCATCAGGACTTACCTGCCATTCTGTGCAAGCTCTGGCGCTGCTCAACTTAGACTAACCAACAGCCCAGCCCAACCATTTGCCCATACCCTCTTGAGTAACTGGGCGCGTTCTTATCAAAGAATGCCACACAGATAACGCTGACCCAGCCCCATGGCCAAATACAACTCCACCTACAGCTCTTCACTATAAAATGAGCTGCTGTTTATTTGGTTTCACGCGAAAAGTGGCTTAAAGTGGGCTAAGCGCGCTAAGAGCATCGCGGCAGCTAGGGAAACGCCATGCAGCGGCTTTGAAGACACTTGAATCTCCTGCACAGCAGGAGCTTGCGGCATTGTAGTTGATTGCCTCACATATCATGAGTGCGTAGAAGAGCGAGATAGAGAGAGTGAGGGAAATTCACATGAATGCAATGATGTGGAAAATTAGATTCATAATCTAAAGATTTCTGTTATGCGATTACGTTACAATTTGCAGAAAATGCGACTTGTTAATACCCTCAAATTGGGCGTCAGTTAAAAATTGAAACTAAGAATTATTTTCGCTAACATTTTTTCATAATTTTATAGTGCCATATTTAGCAATATAATAAGCAATATAATTGTTAGAGCTGCCTATGTTATTCTAACTCTAGAGCTGTGATAGATGTGATTTTTTTGTAGATAGTAAAGATCATGTATTTATTTATTATTATTTATTTAGTTATAAATTAAATGTATGACGACCAACTGCTAATGCCATCAAGTGGACTGCAGATGGACATTGGTATACCTACGATTACTCCCTACGTCAACACGATCGAGCATAGAGTCATACGAAAGAACAATTCTGATCTCATAGATCATATTGGGAAAGCATGTCAAATATTTAAGTTATTATTTAAGACTTTTAAGTAAAAGGAGCGACAATTAGTTCGGCATAGATCGCTGCTCTCAAATAACCCCAAGTTATATGATTTAGTGCTCTGATTTTATATTTTTTCTTTTATTTGTGCTGTCTGCAAAAGTATCTCTACATATCTCTACATATTGGCTATAAATATACATTGAGTTTTGTGATATTTTCTCACTTTAAGATGCGAAAGAACAACAATTGACAACTTGTTGCAACTTCTAATGCAGCAGTCACAGCATAACCCAGACTGAGCCACCTGTGAGATTTTCCTGTTTCTGCAGCTGAAGAGGCTCTTGAAAGGATTTCGATAAGGAAGGCATCATAGGAACAGCTGAACAAGATCACAAAGAACTATTTCTTGCAGTGCCACGAGGGTTGCAAATAATGTTCTCACAAAATATATATTCAGGTAAAATATTATATTTGGACAATTCAATTTTATCTTTTGTCACGTCCTCTTAGCAGCTTAAAGCAATCTGTAGCTATCCAACTGAAAATATATAGATACAATTATTGAAACAATTGCTTTAAATTTATTCAAATTATTTGATTTTCATTTTCAAATTTAATTTTATTTTGCAACGCTTATTGCATTCTCCTTGCACAGTCTGATATGCCCGTCTGCACTGTTTTGTTTACTTATTTTTTGGCAGTCAAAATACGGAACGGGCTGCACTTGGAGCCATGTTAATCCTTTATTTGCTTGCAGCTAGCTTCTCGGCCATGGGACTTATTCCCGTATCCTCTGTACACGTGCCTCACTTATTTAGTGGTCGCTGCGTATGCGTTGGCTGCGCTGCCAGTCCATTGATTTTCGATACCCTGTAATAGCGGCGCATGAAATGAGTTTAGTTTCTTAGGTCAGATGTGTAACTGAAGCGGAGCTTATTTGGCAGAGATTTTAACGACTAGAAGAGACTATGAATGTGGTTGCGAGGTCTGCTCAAAAAGTATAGTTACGTAGGTAGATATAATATTATATAAATATAGTTTTTTTTTTTTAATTTTATATAATTAATAAATTGTGTATATTTTCTCTTTTTTAAATGTAAAATATTTTAATAAATAAACAGCTATATATGTAATCAGCTATAAATATATTTTTTAGAGCTTTACAGCTTACTTTATATGACAACGCATTCAATAGCTAATATTTATTTAATATTGAATTTGATTTGTCATTTTGTTATAGATAGATTTACAGCAGAGCAATATTTTCAAATTGTTCAAACTTTTATCAAAATAATGGTTCTGTTCGTCAATCTCATCCATTTTAATCAAATCATATAAATAAATATAAATATATAAATTTAATTTTATTTATATTAAAAATATATTTATTTGTTTTATTACAATTCATTCTTGTGTAACTCTAAAAAAATACTTATGTACTAAAATATATACACATAAACAGAATACAGGGTATTGTGCAGTCGCGCACTCACGGCTGAAACATTTAAACTTTTTCAATTTATTTGTTGCTTTTAACAATCGCAGTTTTTGTTTGCGATTTCGACAATTTACAACTATTTGGGGCAACGTTTGCTTCCCATGGGCCAGAGGTGGCATACAGTGGAGCACATGTGTCCATCTGCATGTGGTGTTCACTGTTGCCAGCAGCAGCTGCTGCAGGTTTATCAAGGTGTTGCACGTCCATAAAGAAGCTGGGCGAAAAACTGTTCAACAAATCCAAGCTTAGCTAAGAAATGTTGAGTTTTTTATTCAAGAAAATGTTCCACTGTCACACACACACACACACACATACACAAAGAGTATACGTGTCTGCCTGTGTGTGTGTAGCTGGACTACCTGTGACGCTTTCCGCTCTCAATTCACATCCGTTGACTGTTTGGAGCGAATCGCGGTTACCCTTTGGCCACACAATGCGGCAGTTTTGGTGGTGCCTGGGGCATGGTCAGCTCTGTAGATGTATGTGTGTGGTGGGTGGGTGGTTGCTGTGGCGGCTGACTATTGTTTTTCCAGTTGGCAGGGACTAGCGCGCAGTCAATCTAGCAACACTGCCATTTACGGGGTCAGTCACATTGCTCTGTGGCTGCTGCAGCCGTATGGCATAGCTGCTAATGGATGCAGGAGCTGTAGCAGCAGCAGCTCCTTCTGCTGCAGCTGTAATACAAACAAATGAAGGCAGGCAGGCAGCCAGCCAGCCAAGAGCATTCGAACGAATTAATGACGCGTTCAGCGAATCGGCACCACTTAAAGATGCCTCTGTGGGGCAGCGTTAAATCCTGATTGGGTGGTGCGGGTGGCCTGGGTGGTTGCTTTTAAGTGGCAGTCAGCGCTTAAAGCGTAATTATGTCTCAGAACAGTGTGCAGCTGCACAGCTGCTTTAGACGTTGTCTTTAATGCGTGTTCAATTGTTGTCGCTGCCACAATTTGTTGCAAGCGCGGTCATTTCATGCCATTGCCTAGCAACCTGGCAACCTGGCAACCTGGCAACTTGGCATGCTGCAAGTGCACTGCAGCAACGCAAGCACTCTCAATGATATTGTTAAGCTGTCTCAGCTAGTTCCCTCAACTCTCATAAACACTAATTGATAAAAGCGCCTTACGTCGGTTTTTGAATATTGCTGTGGGGCCATGCTACAGCCGGATGAGCTCCACTCACGCCCCCTGGCAGCTGGCAGCTGCTTTTTGGCGTCATTTTTCACCTTCGAATATATATACTATATATGTATAAATATATATGTATATATATATATATATATATATATATATAAATGGCAAAGGCAAAGTTTATTTTCTTTGACACAAATCGCAAGAATTTAAGTTCTTTAGAGCTTGAAAACTTTTCAATCGTCTTTTTCATTTCATAAAGTACTTTTTACATTTATACATATATATATATATATATATATATATATATATACATATATAACTTTTATTTCACTCACATGATTAAATGGAAACTGTTGATATCTAAAGCGAACTACGTCGAATACAATTCCCCACTCATTGTTCGTATATTAGGTTTCTTGCAGTCTACCTGTCCATGTGGGAAGTCTTGAAAAATTATGTTAATTCAATCTTCTGAGTTGTATGCGAGCGTAGAGCACCTGCTAAGAGCGGGAGCTGCGTGGGGAAGAGCTATGAGTGAGAGCCATGTAGAACTGAGCAGTAGCTAAGAGCCTGAGCTATATTGGAGAGAGTATTCGATAAGAGACTGAACCATATATGAAAGAGTAGCTGCCAAGGGTGTGAGCTAAGAGTTAAGAGTTAATATATATAGGAAAGAGCATCAGCTCATAGTCTAAGCCACATAGGAAATGGCATTAACTAAGAGTGTGAACTATTGATGGTAGGGTATCTATTAGGCATGAGTATCTCATAAGGGGGAGTCTCATATATGTATCGCTAAGAGTCTAAGCCACATAGGAAGGAGTCTAATCCAGAAAGCGTGTTAGCTTGGAGTGTGACCTATGGAAGGTCCCTACCTTCCAGACATGTGAACTATATGGGGTAGAGTAGAGTAGAGAGAGTCTCATATATAGCTACAATTGTAATCCATAAAAGCAGGAGTCTAAGCCAGGTCTAAGGTTGATTAACTCATAAGAAAGTATCTCATATATGGCCAAGTGTATTAGCTTAGACTGTGAACTACATTAGAGTAGAGTATCTGCTGTGAGTGTGATACAGATTCTCAAAAGAGAACGTCTCATATATAGCTTCAGTTCTATTCATTCAATTCATCCATTAAGGAACTAGTATTAACTGAATCTTGATTATCCCATCTTATCTATCTTATATATGGCTAAGAGTCTAAGCCACATAGCACAGCGTATGCCATTGGCAGCAGTTTTCCCATAACGTATTTCTTTTCAGTTTCCTTGGCTAAACGTTTGCCTGAAACTGTGGATGTGGCCTCAAAAGCAAATCGTCATTTTGTCAACTGTTGCGCAACGGCTGGCAATTTGCATTTCGAGAGGCATCCTGTCAAATTGTTTGCTGCAAAAGTTGTCATCATTGTCGGGTTTGTCGGCGCCTCGTTGCTTCCGCCTCGAGTCGAGTCGAAGTTGGCAATTGCAATTGCAGCTTGATTTCCATTTGCCATCCGCAAATTGAGAGCATTGGGGAAATGTTTTTCCTGTGGCACATTTGGCATGCCGCATCCAACTTGTTGCACAATGTGAGAATTCCAGCATCTTTCTGCGCCAAGATGCGGATGGAAAACAGCAAATTAGGAAGTTCAATTATTGAAATTAAATTGCTGCCAGTCAGCCCTCAGCGTGGCAGCCACAAGAATTTCCAATTAGAGTCCTGAAACCACTTGTAATCAGTGCGGCAAAACTTGCCATGAATCGAATATGAAATTTCATCGGAATTGCTAACTAGAAATACCTTCAATAGGTCGAACTCAATGCATTGCCAAACGAGACTCGGATGCAGTTTATTTCAAAATATTTAAGATTAGGAAAAAAAAAAGTAGCTATGCATATGAATGGGCAGATTGATACCCTAGATTCCTAGAGCTCAAAGTCGGTACTGGGCGCCGAGCTGTCCACCTCGGCCTTGATCGTATAGTTGGCCTGATTAATGCTGTAGCGAATGTTCAGATAGTGCCCCGTTTGGAAGGGCAGCGCATAGTAGCCCAGCTGGCTGCTGGCGACCTGGTCGTTGCGATGGTAGATCACGTGTCCGTTGCTCAGCACCAAGTGCAGCTCCTGGCTGCCGTTCTCGTTGTGGCGGACGTTCTGCTTGAGGATCTGCACGAGGCTCTGTGCATCTGGCTGTCGCAGCGGCAGCGAGATCAGCGGCTCGCAGCGGCAGCTGAGCTTCTGGCTTAGTGGACAGGTCTGTGCCGGTGAGCCGAGATCGCCACCCGGTGGCTTGGCAGGCGGCCCAAAGCCGGGCAGATTGCCCAGCTGGCCGAAGTTACCAAAATTACCAAGACTACCCAGTTGGCCCAGTTGACCCAGTTGGCCCAGATTGAGGCCGGTGAGCAGGTTTTGCAGCGGCAAGTTGGTCAACAGCGTGCCCACAATGGGCAGATTCTGCGGGAAGCCGGGCGTCTGCAGACTCACTGGCGCGACCACTGCTACAGGCTGCACTGGCTTCAGTGGCTCCACTGGCGGATTCGGATTGAAGTTGTCAAAGTAAACGGGTATACCAATGCCAGCGTTACCCTGTTTCAATGAACTTATAGTCAGGCAATCTGCAATTGGCTGCGTATGAGCACTTACCAGCTGACGTTTGTTTCTCTGATCTGGCTTTGCAGTGGTTGTTGTTGTTGGTGTTGTTGTTGTTGTTGGTGTTGTTGTTGTTGGTGTTGTTGTTGTTGTTGTTGTTGTTACAATCTTATCGGATACTTCTGCAGCCGCCGCAGCGCCGATTAGCAGTACGAAACCCAGATAGCTTCTCATGTTTGATGCTCGGCCCGTTCTGTGTCCGACTGCCCACCGTGCCAAGTCTTTTATATGGCAAGTGAACGGTTCCGTGCAGGTCTTAAGCAGTCTTAACTTAAGTTCTTTATGGGCCTGGAACCAGTTGTAATTATATTGTTATGGGCGCAAAGTGTGTCAACTCGAACAGGCAAGATCTTTCGGTATTTGGTGGCATAAGAATACATTATCGATGCCGATCAGACTACAGTCTAAAATGCTTGATTATATATAGTATAAGCTGACCAAATAGGTACACACTCTTATGATTATATTTACATTGTTCTCTTTTCCTTAGTTGCCATCTAACAATCTCAATCTGGTCGGCTAAAGATAGAAAAGATTTGCTGAAACTTTTCATCTTAGCGCTGAACTGCCTGTTGCACACTGTCACTTAAGCTAATTAAGCTTGCTAGTATATGTAATGAATTTAAATACAAGTCAAATGGCAAGCATTAAAATTATTTTCACATTTAAATATTATCGCTAACTTAAACAGCTGCTGAAATATAGCTATGCAAAATAGTATCACACTAAACGGGTCACCCTTCAAGCTGCCAAATGCAGAGATGAACACCTGATTTATCAGCAGTTAGCGAGCTGAGCAGCATATTGGCAGTACACGCACACACATACACACACACACACACACACATATGCTTGCCTGTTGAGCCAGCTGTCGCTCATTGAACAGCAATTGCTTTGAGTGTCTCGTATAATAGAAGACCAACAAAATTGTATCGAGTGTAGCAGACTTGAGCTGAAATTTAATTTCATTTCAATTAAATTGAAATATGTAAATGGAATTAAGTGTTCAATGATTTCCATGTTAAGGCCTTTGAGGCTATTCGGCAGCTGTGGCAAGTCGCCAGCGGTCGCACGATGAAAGTGCCCGGCTTTGGAGCTTCAAATTAGATTAAGCAAAAATCGTGTGACTGCCCAGAAGCAAAAAAAAAAAAGAAAAAAAAACCCCCCTTAAGAGCCAAATGTCCATGTCCACGGCGAGAAATTGTCAGTGGTTTCGCGCTCCCAGTCCCAAGCTCCACCACTCGAAAAAAATGGAAAAAATCGAAAATCCAGTTGCCATGGACGTAAACATGAACAAATTTTGTGGGTGAGGCTTCAATTTGTTGCGCTTTAAAGTTCGCTTTGAACGATTAGCAGGACAGGAGTGTGGCCACTCGAATCAGGGCGGGTGGCACGTGGGCGCGGCTTGCTAGTAGGTGAACCACGGGGACTCTCGCACGGAATTTCGCATGTGGACTGGGCGCAAGTTTGTTAAACATGTTCCTGTTGTTGTTTCTGGTTTGTTTGACAGTTTTGGCGACTGTTGTTGTTGCTGCTGCTGCTCAGCTCATAAATCAAATAAGTTTTGACAAATTGCACATTAAAGACACGTTTTGTGTTTTGTTTCTGCTGGAAATTAAATTTGTATGCACAAATATTATGTGTAACATTTGCTCCAATTGAATATGCGCAAGCAGATTCAATTATTTATATATGTATGCAAACTAAGGAATGTTTTTCAGTCACACACACAGAACACACTCAGAAATGTTTGCAGTTACCTAAATTGGCATAAGACTTGAGTTTAAAAATAATTTTCTACATAAAATATATTTTATGGCATATGACAACAGTGGAGGCAATACTGCAACAACAACAACAACAAAACTATACTGAGAAATGCAATAACAATAAAAAGGAAGCTAAGCGACGCGTTCTGCTGGCAGCACAGTGGAGTCGATTCAAAAACTTTAAATAATTATTTTCATATATATTTTAATTTTTTTGTAAAATTTTAATTAAATTAATAAATATTTATTTTAATTGCATTAATAACAATTTTTTCAGTTTGTTATAATATAATAATAAATAAATAAAATTTATTTAATAAGTATTTAATTAATTGCTTATAGTTTTTAATTTAATCAAATTTCATAAATAAAAATTCAAAACATTTTAATTTGAATTAAAAATATTTCATCAGTTTTGATTTAATTTATCATAATTTATTCTATTTTTTATGTGTTGGTCACACGGTGCGTTGTCGGCAGCAGCAGCTTCATTAAAAAAGTGCAAAAAGAAATGCAATAACAATAACAAAAGCTAAGCGACGCAACAGAGGCAACGTCAACGACGCGTCGTCAACAGCAGCGTTTCGACGACAGTGCCGCAGTCGCAGTCGCAGTCGCAGTCGCAGTCGCAGTCGCCTTCGCCGTCGCAGTCGCCATTGCCGTCGCCTTTGCCAGTGCTGTTCTTGAGCTGGCTGTCCGGCATGAAAATCTTATTATAAATGATGTTGTCCAAATGACCCAAAGAATGTTAAAGAATGGCAAGTGCAAGCCAACAGGAAGATGACGAGAACGAAAGAGACAGTAAGAGAGAGGAGAGAGTGAGAGGGAAAGAGCTATATTGTAATATTAAGATCACTCAAATGAATGACAGCTAAACCAACCTGCGCTGCATAGCTATAGCGCAGCTTAAGCTTCAGCGAGTGCTCGGGCTGCCAGAGCATGACTTGCTAGTTATATAAGAGATTATTTGGCTAAAGCGAATGTAAATATATAAATGTTATATATACATAAATATATATATATATATATATTCTTTATGTGTAAACTTCAAAATGCTTAACGTAGCATAATTAATGACTTATAGCCCATTGAAGTGTCTTAACAAATAAGCCTGAGTTTTAGAAACTTCTATATAATTTTTATTGTATATATCTTAGTATATATTATATATTAGCATTATATTTTTATTAAATTTCCTTTAATATATATTTTATAAGATTTTTTTAAATGCTTTAAAATTTATTAATTTTTGTATTAGTTTATTTGAGCTCAGGTTACTCAACTTCTTATTTCAAGCGTATTGTTTAAAAGTTTTCTAAGAATCTTTTTTACTGCTTTGTTTTTTTTTTTTTTGAGTATCCGTAAAACTCTTATGTCTCAGAGCTGAATATGTTATTTTTGAATATTTTTATGAGTTTGTTGTTGAAAAGTGTTGATACACAATGTCGTAAGATTGAGACGAAGTACTTAATGAAAAAAATGTATATAGACTTTTGCAATCGATATACATATGTTGAAAATTGGCTGTCTTTATTTATTTATCTTTTCTTTAAGTATTAAATTTTCACTTATAATTCTTCTCATTTTATTCTAGTTCCTTTTCCCTTTAGAGAGAGAGTTTCCATTGCTTTTTCTTGAATTGACTTCATTCTGGCTCACAATTTGCTGTTTCGAGTCAAAGCCCAAGAGTTCCTGCTGCTTGTCCCATTCTTATCTTGAGCTTTTCGTTTATCTGCGTCATCGCCTGTTGCCCTTTGCCAGCTTTGCATTTATGGCTGGTTGCGGCGCCTTTTGCTTGGCCAGCTTTATCGTGTTTTCATTTAACTGATTGTTGGTTGCTGCTGCTGCTCTTAACGCATAACGGTAAAGAGTGTTTGGCCGTTGATTAAGTCGACGCTGACGCCGCCGTCGCCGTCGCCGACGCTGTCACTGCCGTTGTCAATGGCAACGAATCGAAACTCTGAGTATAAATATAAGAAGCAGCTCGGGCCGAGGAGCAACAACAGAGCGTGAATCGAACTGTGCCCAATTCCTTGTGCCAGTCCCCAACGCAATTTCAGCCCGAAATGACAACATATAGTATGTGGCGATGTGGCGCTGTGCCGCTGTCGCTAATCCTCGTGCTGGTCGTGATTTGTGCACGGGCCACGCCACTGCCAGCGGCAGCAGGCGCAGCGGAGCTGACCGGCAGCAGTGAAACGACACTCGAGGACCAGCAGCTGCAGCAGTCGCATCGCATTGACTGCAAATTGACTTTCGATGCTACAATGGAATCGTTAGAGCAAGAGCGCCACAATGGCTGCAACGTGCTGCAGCCAGCAACCAGCAGCACTAATAAGCCAGCGGATGCGAGCAACGACCACGAGGACGACCACGAACAGGCGCAGGACGGCCAGCCGGAGTCGGCGAATGTCCCGCGGACCTCAATGTCTGGCAGTCAGCCCCTTTATGAATTACAAGTGGTTGTTTGGCCAGCTGATGTTGGGGCTGTTGATGACATTGCCACAACTGCAACAACAGCAATGGGAACAACAACACCAGCAGCAGCAGCAGCTAGTACCACAATGAAAACAACAACAGCAGATGGAACACCTACAATGTTGCCTTTATATGAGGATCAATTGGTCGTATTTCCGCAAATGGAATTTGATGAGCAAAATTTTGATTATTTCTTTGATGAGCTGCAACCGGGGGCCGCATCCACAACTACATCCACATCCACAACCACGCCAAAGTCCACCCCAAAACCCGACCCACCGCAGCAAGTTTATGTGCTGGAAAACTATCGCATCAAACACGCCAACGGCACCGAGGAGTATAAGTAAGGCAGCACAGTCCCTCGACTATCGGCCACCTCAAATCTCAATTTTCGCATTCATTCGCATCCACAGACTGGTGCTCAGCAACGGCATGGCCAACTACATGAAACTGTATCGGAAAACTGTTGGCGAGCGGCTGATCAATGTGCAGGAGGGCTATCATTCGGTGCCTGTAGCTGGGCAGAAGCCGCGGATCCAGACGATTTACTACATTGCCGACGAGCGTGGCTACAACGTCTACAAAAGTGAGTTTTTAGTTTGCAACATAAATTATCATTACCTTTATCGTCATCATCGTAATGATTATCATTGGCCATTTCTTCGCCCCAACAGTTGAGCACAGCCCCCATTGACGGTGCGTCAGAAGGCCACGAAATCACCAGAGCCTAAGCCAAATATATGAGTGTGGAGAAATCACGTTTTCGCACAGTGGGACGCAGCTACTAAGGGAATTTTTTCACCTAAGTTAATCTCTTTTTTATTATAAAAAATTTAAAAAAAAGAAACTAATAATTTTTAAGTATTTTAAATTATTAAAATATTTTAATAATATTTTTTTTCTTTTGTAAAATTTAAACAATTTTTTTTTACTATTTTTACAATGTTTGCTTAATATTTATATTTTTTTATTTAAATAATATTAAGTTAAATAAAAACAAGCGAATGAATTTGGCATCGATCTTTCACTCATTTTATATTAAAAAAAACTCTGCCCTAATCTTATAATTATTTTTAAAATAATGTAACATAATATTATATATTAATAATAATATTTTTTTGACATGAAAAGAATTAAAACAATTGCAAAGCTATTTTCGCTTATACAAATATTAGCTATGATCAAAGCTAAGAAAATTATATCAGCTAAAGAGATTGAAATAAGTTTTGTATATAAAAAAGCTGTTGAAAACTGTTTATAACATTTAACATTTAACTTTTAAAATATCTATATATATTATGGTTTATTTTTCTTAAACATATGCTCATTTTATGCCCCGTTCAAGCACTGTGAACCACTGTGCGACGCGTGGCAACCATTTTGGTCTTCCGGTTTCAACTTTGGCCTGGATGCTGGCTGAGATGCCAAATAAAATGTAACGCCCGCAAAATGATTTGCACTTTTTGTGCTGTTTTTGTTTTTGTTTTGTTTATTTTCATTTTTGTTTTTATTTTATTTTATTTCTGTTTGCCAGCTCCGTTTGTGACTACGAACTACGAACTACAGACTACGGACTACGATTCCGGATTGCGCCTTTGTTTGTCTCTCAATCGCACGCTTCTTGATTGCTTTCCTAGTTGTGGATCCTTGTTGTTGTCGTTGTTGTAGTTGTGCTTCCTCTTCATCGTCTTCCTGATGTTCCTTGTCGCCGCATTTGGCGCCCTAGTCAATGCTGATGATGCCATTTAGATGCATATCAAAGTGTTTCACTTTTGGCCAATCCTTTCGCAATTTTTGCATATGTATGAATGTATTGTAGATATTTATTTATTTATATTTTCTTTCTCTTTTTTTGCCATTTTATTTATTCTATTTTCTATTTCTTTTTTGTTTCCTAGGGATTCCACTGTTGTCTTCTTCGATTGTAGTTTATGGCTTCTGACCTCCCCAGCCCCGACCGTTCCCATGCTGGGACTAAATCTTGGGGTCCTCTCGTCTTTTGTTGTTTGTGCCAGAGCTGAAAAGTTTTGCTTGCTCGTCAGCCTGTGGCAGCTGGCACCAATCGAAAGTTTCGTCCTGGTATTATTATTATTTAAGGCATTTCGCTAGCCAGATATTGTGTAGATAATATTTCTATTGGCTCAGTTAAAGTGCTTTTTGATGCGACTTGTCGTTAAAGCTAAGCATACGCATTTCCCTTAACTTTTACGACACCAACTTCAAATGTTATGTATCTAATCTATTATCTAATCTTTTGTCAAGTAATGTCTCTATCTTGCTCCTAGATGCCCATGCTGAGAAAGATTTCTTAAAGAGAAACTTATTTTCTTAGAGAAATAATTAAAATTAACTCTGAATATGCAATGCAAGCGAGCTTAAGGAATTAAGCTTGAAATATCAGAAGCTAAAGTCTCACCTTAGATTGGACCACGCTTACGTCTGAGTTGCTACCTGCATAAAGCTATGGATGTAGCTTCTAGAAAACATTTAATAGAAACGTGATAACCTGTTGCTCCTCTTTGCTCACCTTGTATATTCTCTGCTATTCAAAAGCCAATGGCATACTAAGATGGCTTCAATTTGCCTGTCAAGCGTTGAGCTTAAAGTTGAAGGGGAAAAACTTAACTTCTATGCGAAACTCTATATTTTATTGAATTTTATTCACTTAAAAATCGAAATGCATTGAGTAGAAAAAAAAACTACTCAAGCTCTTAATATTATGTATGTATTTTACATTTATTATTTATTAATCCATGCACAAAATGCCGCAACAATCAGTTAATAAAAATAGTTGATAAATGTGCTCAATTATATATATGCGTGTATATTATATACAGATAAAAGCATAAGTAATGGTGGCAAAAGTGTAATTTACATGTGTCTGTGTGTGTGTGTGTGGGGGGGGGTCTCTCTATAAATTTTTAACGTAAATCCACTAAGAGCTTTAGCAGCCATTGGCCCATTTTGGAACGAACTTTGCCGATGGCCGTTTGTTTGCCAGCCTGGTTAAGTCAAAAAGGGTGGGCGGCGGTGTGTGGGCGTGTCGTATTGGTTGGTGCATGTAATGAAATCCGCAAAGCATCAGGCAAATTTTTATAAAATCGACATAAAGCTGGGGCAATGAATTTCATTACAGCACGGCAGCCCCACACAGACACCGGTTGCAGTCGGCTCGATTTTGACAGTGCTCTTCACACAGGCGCAGATACATACATATATGCACATATATATACATATATATATATATATATATGTGTAAGCCACATTGAACATTACGAGCCAATGTTTCGCGGTGGCCAACTGTTCCTGTGTGTGCTGTGCGCTGTGTGCTGTGTGTGCTCTGTGCACTGGGCGTTTGTTTGAGTATGCTAAATACATATACGCAGTGATAAACACATTACAAGATATTTTGCATATTTTATGTACCGTGGCCCATGCGAATCGAACCAAATTGAACAGAGCCGTGCAGAGGTGAACAGAGACAACAAGTACATCTGCACATGCACCCATACACATATGTACTCATGCATGTCGCGCTGCTGCTGCTGGGGCGTTGTTAAAATCTGTTTTTATGATTAATCGACCCGTGGTGCGAAAGCGGAATAAAGCGAACAAAATGCTGTTGGCACTTTTGTGTTTTTGCTTTTGTTTTAATTTTTTGTCAATATGCCGGCAAATTTCATTTGGAAACCATTTCGAATGACTGCCATTCGGGGCAGGTTAAATAATCAGGCTTGACTCCGACCTTACACTTATTCACTTTGCAGCATAGTCAAAGCTGTCAACTCAAAAAACCACACAAATTGTGACCATAAAAAGGTGAGCGAATCGTTTATTGGATATTGCCAGTGCAGAAAAACCAAACTGAATGATATATAAATATATATATATATAAATATGTATACATCTATACATATGCATATATGGATGTTATCTGAATATATTCAGCTATCAATTAGTAAGTAAAATGGCCAATAAGTCAGCGAGGCAGTCTGCCTGCACAAGCTCTTTAAAGTAAAGAAGTATTTCTATGACAGTCAGTCAACCAAACAGTTTGTCAGTCAGGCACAAATTCAGTGAGTCAGTCAATCAGCCATTCTACCAGTTAATGAGTCAGTCAATCAATCATTCGTTAATCAATCAATCACGCGTCAATCAGTTAATCAATTAGTCATAGTCAGGCAATCCGTCAATAAGTCTGAATCAGTCAGTCAATAAGTCAATCCATCAGTCAGTCAGAGTCAGTTAATCAGGCAGGCAATCAATCAATTAGTCAATAAGCAGTCAATCAGTCAATAAATCAGACTCAGTCAGTCAGTCAGTCAGTCAGTCAGTCAAGCAGTCAATCAGTCATTCATTCAGTCAATCAGTCAATCAGTAGTCAATCAATCAGCCATAGTCAGTCAATCAGTTAAAATCCGTCAATCCGTTAGCCAGTCAATCAGTCAATCACTCGTTAAGCAGTCAGTTAATTGGTTAGTCAATCCATCAGTCAGCGTCATTCAGTCAGTCAGCCAGTTTGTGATTTATACACAGACCAATCATCACATCCAAAAAACACAAACCATTTTTTTTAGTAAAAATACATTTTTACAGTTATTCCAGGTCTTAAAAAAAACAAATTATTTTTAATATAAATTTGATTCAAAACTTTATAGAAACATTTGCTAAAATTTATTTTGCTATCAGATTTAATATTTCAGATGCTACTCAACTATTTAAAGTGCCGACCTGATTATGTTGGCGATGGTGCATAATAGCTTTGGCCTTGTAAATGGATTCTTTGTTTGAGTTAACGATGAAGGACTTTACGGTTTCTTTCTTTACTTTTACGGCGAAGTAATTTGTGTTGTTGTCATACTCGTTCACGAACTGAGAAGAGTATATTAGATTTAATATTCGTCATAGATACAGGCAGGTAAAAATATATAACACTTTCAATGTTTTAGAATCTGTACAATGGAACCACAAAAATATATATTGAAAGAACACTCAGTTGGTGAGCTGCTCTATATGACAGATAGATCTGGTAATTGATTAATTTTAGCTGCTTTTTGGGTGCCCTGAACAGGCATCATGCAGTCGGTTGCGCGCGACCACAACTTTCTTATTTGTGTCTTCCTCCTTCGGGCAACCAAATTCAGGTGTTCTTGAGCTATTTACCTGTCGTATTTTCTGTTTGTTTTGTGTTGTTGAAAATTTGCGCGTTTATCTTGCGCTAGTTTTGTGCACATTCGTATCACATTACTTTGTGTGTTGGTCGTGGTGGTGCAGGTTGCAGCTTTCGAGTTGCGACTTGCAACGTGCAACCTGCCACTTGGTGTGCTCGGCACGTGCTCACTAATTTTATTCCTTAATAAAAACCCAGGCACCGTCAGCAGCAACGACGAAGTAATAGTTGGCGCACGTAGTAGCTCAGCGGGGGAAGGAGGGGAGGGGGTGTCGGCCAAAGGATTCGCATCCGCAAGGACAACACACCGGGCTATTCGGATCGAACGGGCGGCCGTCACCTCGTCTCGTGCGCCATTGTGCGCCTTCTTGGGCGTCATCAAAATAGCAAAGTTCATTAAAGCGATAATTACCAGGGCCATAAAAAGGCAGCACAAACGGAAAATACGAGACGACGATGTCGGATAGATTGCATACATATGTATGTTATATATATATATATATATATAGATATATATAAATTTG